AGAAGGAGGAGGAGGAGGAGGAAGAGGAGGAGGAGGAGGAGGAAGAGGAGAAGGAGGAGAAGAAGAAGGAGGAGGAGGAGAAGAAGAAGGAGAAAAAGAAGGAGAATAATAAGAAGAAGGGAGCTGGTGAGATGGCTCTGTGGTCTAAAGCACCTACTTAGAACAAGCTTAGCAAAACACAGGGACCGCGCGGTTCAATCCCCCAGCACCACATGCCAGCCAGCCCCGCCCCCCCTGGTGGGCTGAGCTGGCCACACACACACACACACACACACACACAAATAAATAAAATTTAAAAAAAAAAGAAGAAGAAGAAAAGGATTAAGGCACAATACAAATTTTTTCAGTAATGGTGATTGAATATGGGGCTTTCACATTGAGTTGTATCCCCAGAACTTTCTCTCTCCCTCTCTCTCTCTCTCTCTCCTTCTCTTTCTCTCCCCTTCTCTCTCTCTCTCTTTGTTGTTTATTTGTTAATTTAGAAATAGAAATTTCCAATATATTCTGTTTCTTTATCAGATAAGAAGGAATTTGATTTTAATAGATATGCATGTTAAATATTGTTCATTTATAGACATCTGATATAGCGAATACTTCATAATGAGTGTAACGAATGATGTATTATTTACTCTTTTATCAATCGTTAATTACTTTCTCTTTTGTTAATTATCTTCATACATATATTTTCTTTTATATTTTTTATAAATACAGCAGTTATAATAGATTACACAAAGCAATATGATAAAATTAGAACAGAACAGTCTCTAAGTTTCAAAAATATATTTAAAGTTCTTGTTTTATTAAGAGAAATAAAAGCTCTCAAATTGGGTTTAGCAATAAATTCATTTATATCATGTTTACAAGATACATTCCTAAATTAAATGTCATATCTTAGATAAATTTCAATATTAGGCATAGATATGTTTACCATATATGATCATAAGAAAGGAGATTTTGTGTATTATTACTAAAATTGAATTTGTATTATTACTAAAATTTCATCCTGACACTAGTTAACATGGAAAACATGATTACCGGCAGTCTTAGGGAAAGCACTAGGGGTATGCAGTAGGAGGAAGCTACTAGGCTTCACTGTGAACAAAGGTAAGAAAAGGAGTGGGTTATAGCAGAGGCATGGGAGAGCAGGAGGGGGCCCTGAGTCAGTAGGTGGAAAACTGCTAAGGTCGAAGGAGTGGTGCATTATTGTTAAATAAACATAAGAGGACACTTGAACAAAGGCCAAGGTGCTCAGGTATCAAGGACTGGTATTTGAGTGGTAGTAGGGGCAGGATTGTCTCTAAACTGACTTAGCAGGATATTTTCTACAACTGGACAAGACAGGCCCAAGACACTAATACATAATTGCCTTCTCTATTTATAGAAAGTTTCCCACTAGATATATACTGCGGGGGTACCTCGGAATCCCTTGATGGTTAATAGTACCAAAAATGACAAGCATCAGATAAATGACTTGGGCTAGAAAGGCTAGTGGTCACAAGGCAACTTGACCCCTACAAATGGGGTCAACCAAATTGACCAATGGGAACAACCAAATTCATCAGGGAAGCCAGCACGACAAGGTCACCCAGCCAAACAGTGCAAGAGAGCCAGCAGCTTCCAACGGTCCAACAACTTCTTCAAACAGGCGGCCCTAACAGCCTCTCTGCAGCTTGTCCAGCTCTGCCTCTACGCTGCTGACAACAATCCTCACACCCAGCACCTGGCTAGTTCAGTTCAGCTGGGTGTAACAAGCTGCCCACCACTTAGCAATCCACTACATACGTCGAGTACCAAGCAACTAACGAGGACCAAAACAGAATATCCATATCAAAATGCACCCAGGACCACATGGGCTATGTTTCCAAGCTGCCCAGTACCAGGGTATACCTATAGTTAGAAAAATGCTCAGAGTAGACTGCCTAAAGTTTAGTCGACGGTAATGGGGAGATAGCTCAGTGGTGTAAGCACCTGCCTGGCAAGCTCAAGGTCCTGAGTTCCATGGCTGGTACTAAAATGAGTAAATAAAGTTTTGCCAAGGAATGTCTTTGTCACACTTTAGGAAAAAAAAATCAAACAAACTATAAAATTCGGCACTCATTTTTTCTCAATTGGAAAATATCATATCAGAGCCACAAACCCAAAATGCTGAAAAATAATAAAATACAAGACCAAGACTAAACATGGTGGAGCACACCTATAATCTCAGCACTTGGGAGGCTGAAAACAGGAGGATCACTATGAGTCCGATCTGTGTAGCGAGACCCTGTAGATCCTGTACTAAATACATAAAAAAATAAGAATAAAATATAAGACCATTGCGAAACGGCATACTATATTCACTAATGGGGCAGGCTGTCTGCTGATACACAGGACAATGGCCCCTCATCCTTCTCACTGGGACTCTTATTTTTTTTTTTTTTTTTTTTTTTGTTTTTTTTTTTACTCGTATGTTTTTTTTGGAGGAACCGGGGATTGAACTCAGATCCTTGCATTTGCCATTCAAGCGCTTATCCTACTGAGCCATCTCCCCGGCCCCACTGGGACCCTTTGATCCCCTTGCATAGGCAACCCTTCCATCGTGGAATTTTTACCCAAGGATGGGCACAGACGTCTGAAGTCACCATCCACTGAAGTGTCTTTGGCTCACTGATAGGTCCAGACACTTCCTTGATTCCCACAATCGATACCAGGAATGCCTACAGTTATTTGAAGTCGTTGTTAAATTTGAAAGTACTTTTATGAATTTCTGTCCCAAAAGAGCCGGGAGGTGAATGGGTTATTTCCCACAGATTTCTCAGACAAAGGAAAGGTAAAAAGACTGAGCCTCACGTGTTCCAGAGGGGAAATTTGCCCTGTGCCCTTTTAGTGCCGTGTGGAACAGGGGGAAGCGTGCCTCCTTGCTGTCCCGTTCGGAGTGGGCCTGGGCCCGCGGCTGTGCGGGGGGCCCCTCGTGCCCGTGAGGACCCAGGCTGGAGTGAGTGCACCGTGCTCTGGACCCCACCTCAGGGCAACTGACTGGCTGGGGCTCGTTGGTGAGGCCTCAGCCTCCACCAATTCGAGACCTAAAAACTATTCTTTCTAGACAGTTTTTTTTTTTTCTAGATTGTTCTTTCTAGACAGTTTTTTTTCTAGACCTCCTGGCTCTTTTGGGACAGAAATTCATAAAAATATTTTCAAATTTAATAACAGATTCAAATAATTGTAGGCATTCCTGGTATTGACTATGGGAATCAAGAAAGTGTCTGGACCTATTGTTGAGCAGAAGGCACTGCAGTCCATCACAGTTTCGGACATCTGTGTCCGTCCTTGGGTGAAAATTCCGTGACGCAAGTGTTGCCTACGCAAGGGGAGTGCCTGTGTCTGTTGAATGGATGAAGAAAATATAGCACTTGCACACAGCAGAGTACAACTCTGCCCTCAGGAAGGATGAAGTTGAGTCCTTGTAGGAAATTGGATGCACCTTGAGATGATAGTGTTTCATTGAAATAAATCAGACATCAACCTTCATGGTTTCTCTTAAACAAGAAACCTGAAGTATGAATAAATTAAAAGATAGATACAAAATAGGGAGATAGAATGTTTGTGAAACAGGGCCGGAGAGCTAGCGCAGTGGTCTAAGCACCCACCTGGCAAGGACAAGGACCCAGGTTCGATCCCTGTTACTGCATGCCATGTGAGCCGCGTGCTGAGCCAGCCACTGAAATCGGCCTGGTGGCCCACACCTGTAATTGCAGCACTGGGAAGGCTGAGACAGGAAGATCGCTAGGAGTCCAGTCTCTGTAGTGAGACCCTGTAGGCCCTGTACTAAAATACAAAAACAACCTTGTACTAAATAAATAAGTACAAAAAAATTATATACATGCAAAGAAGAATGTTTGCAAAAGAAAAGGGAGACCAAGAAATGGAGGACAGAGGGAGGGCGAGAAGGCAAATGGGATGAGAATCAGAACGAGACGCGCTGTGTGCAATACCAGCCTTATCAGTGTATAAACATAAACTGACGAAGAGGAAACGAAACTGCGATGATGCCTCTTGAGAACCTCTGGGGGGAGAGGGGGGTCTGACTCAGGTCTCGCCACGCCACCCGCCAGGCCCTGGCGCATCTTTTCTACAGACCTTCAGTCACTGCTGATCTGACTGTGGCGGTCAGCATTGTCCAGATGGCCACATTTTGTCCTAGACCAGATCTTATCTGCAGGAGACCTGACTCTCGTCACCTGCTGTGTCCTGTGGGGATAGATTCGGCTGATTTACGCGCGCGCACACACACACACACACACACACACACACACACACACACACACGGCATTACCAATGTTACTAAGTTCACTAAAGTTTCGACAACTTTACTGTCTACAGCGCTCCCTCACCAGCCACTTCCGGTTCAGCTTCCTGGCCTCAGCCTACGATCAGGCTTGGCTTCCCTCCCGGGAGCCTCACTGGCTCTACCCCGGCCCCATGTGAGATGCCAGCCCTGCGGCCACTGCTGCTGCTGCTGCTGCCCCTGCTGTGGGCAGGTGAGTGAGTGCGGAGGGGAGGGCAGCGGGGCTGGGGCCTGGGCTGCAGCTCAGCCTCTGTGTCCCCGCAGGGTCCCTGCAGCAGAGTCAAGGCCCAAAGATCCAAGTCCAGGAGTCAGTGACCATACAGCGGGGCCTGTGTGTCCTGGTGCCCTGCTCCTTCTCCTTCCCCTCACGTTGGTGGCTTTCCCAGCGAGAGATCTACATGTCTTGGTTCCGATTCTGGACAACATACTACTCATACAATGATGAGCCTGTGGCCACAAACAACCCAAAACATGCAGTGAGGCCAGAGATCAAAGGTTGATTCCACCTCCTTGGAGACATCAGGACCCAAAACTGCTCCCTAAGCATCAGGGGCGCCAGAATGGAGGACACAGGATCCTATGTCTTCAAAATAGAGACAAAGAATCAAGGACAGAGTTATGCAGACAACCCTGTGCATTTGGAGGTAACAGGTAGGCAGAGTCCCCAGGACGGGACCTCGGGTCCTGAACACCCCACAGGAGAACAGGAACAAGATGTCTGGCCCTTCTCTGCTCTGCTCATGGGCTGCGAGGTGGGGGGTCAGAGGAACGTGAGCTGTGGACCCGCTTGGGCCCTGGGGCTCCAGTCACCTTCAGGCTCACACTGGGTCCCCACTCTGGGCCCAAGCAGCTCCCTGTCTCCTACTCAGACCTGACAGAGAAACCGGTCTTCCTGGTTCCTGAGCCCCTGCAGTCTGGCCGCCCCACACGCCTCAGCTGCTTCCTGCCCGGATCCTGCCCAGGGAGCCCACCCCTCACCTTCTCCTGGTTGGGGGACGCCCTGAACTCCATGGACCCTGGGAACCTGCATTCCTCAGAGCTCACTCTTACCCCACGGCCCCAGGACCACAACAGCAGCCTCACCTGCCAGGTGAAACTCGGAGGAACTCGTGTGACAGTGGAGAGTACCATCAGGCTTAATGTCTCCTGTGAGTGCTGCGGGTTAGTGGGGGGCTGTGTGTGTGTGTGTGTGTGTGTGTGTGTGTGTGTGTAAGATCACCTGTGAAAACTTCAAGCTGAAGATGAGTCAGGAAGGTGGCAGGAGAGGGACAGAGCCTTCCTGCCCTCTCTCCCTGCTCTTTGTCCCTCCCAGGCCCTCACCCACTCTGCTGATCACTCTGAAGCAGGCCAGTTCCTTTCTCTCCAGATGCTCCTCGAGACCTCACTGTCAGCGTGTTCTTCAGAAACAGCTCGGGTAGGGATCATTCTCCACCTCTGGGGCCGGGCTGTTGCTCCCTCCAGGCTCGGGGCACAGAAGGTGGGAGGGGACCCTCGGTCCTCAGGGTCATCACTAAGGTCTTTCATTGACAAACCAAATGTTGCTTTTGGCTAAACCTCTTTCTCTGCATTTCAAATCTGTATTCCATAGTGACAGAACAAACATGCAAGCTATCCTGTCTTTACATTTGTGAGTACAATTTGACGGTGTGGTGGCCTTCATTCTTACGAATCTATCTGCATAGCTCTTATAGATGTGAGCAACACAAACTCCGCAGTCATGGAGCCCAGACCCTCTTCCCTGCCCACCCCGCCATGGCCTGCGCTCTAATCTCTGTCTCTGCGCTGGGTCCCTGCCACAGATTTCCTCTCCCCTCCTCTCCTCCAAGGCCTTTCCTCCTTCTTCTCTGATCTGATCATCTCTAGGGTCTCCAGTAGCCTCCTTCCGGCAGATCTCCGAGGATCTCCTTCATTTCCACTCAATCTCATGGATCCTCCATCCCCCCTGAGTCCCTGTCCTGATGCCTCTCCTTACCCTACAGCCAGCCCCTTCCCTTCGGCAACCTGGAAGCCTCCTGCTGGTGACTCTCCCTGCCTGCACCACCTGAGGAGTTTTCTGGACTTGGCTCTAAGCAGCTGCCTTCCTCACAGGGGTGCCTCTGAGTTCCCTGAGGCTCAGGAACTCCAGTCCCAGTCGTGTCCTCCTTACCTTCCCCTTGGCCCAAAACTTGGCCCAAATTTTCTCCTGCAACCTGGACCACTGAATGAGTCTGCTCCTGGCCTCCTGTGCACCCTCGTCAGCTCAGCCCTTCCCTACCAGGATCTCTCTTCTCCCAGTTACTTTAGTGTTCTTCCTATACTCGGCCCCTAGAACTTTGTTGAAGCCCAGGGCAGAGTCCAAGGCTCACAGCTGGCCCCTAGGTCTCAAGGACCCAGCCTCCCTCACCGAGCTCCAGGGAGCATTTGGATCCCCTCTCTGCCAGGTGGAAGATGCAAACCTTTTTCTCATTGTTGGGGCTGGTTCCATTCTCTCTCCCTTGGGTTTCCTCGGGCTTATTAGTAGACCTGGCCTCCTGATGACAGTAATGTGTCTGCTTCAGCTGTGACCAAAGCATTCTTATTCTTTGCAACATAGTCAGTCTTCTCTTGGCCTGGATCAGTGGGAACAGGGAGGAGACACTTGTCACCCCCACCTGCCTCACCGTGTGTTTCTTACCCAGCCCTGAAGGCCCTGAGCAACGGCTCCTCGCTGTCTGTCCTGGAGCAACAGTCCCTGCGCCTGGTGTGCGAGGCTGACAGCAACCCTCCTGCCACTCTGAGCTGGACCTGGAAGGGAAACGCCCCCGGTCCCTCCCAGGTCTCTGGATCTGGGGTCCTGGAGCTGACCCGCGTAGGGGTGAAGGATGGAGGGGCATTCACCTGCCGGGCTCAGCACCCGCTGGGCTCCCAGCACCTTTCCTGGAGCCTCTCTGTGCAGGGTGAGTAGCACACAGGAGCTGGGGCCTCAGCCTGGCAGGTGTTCCACGTGGGGGAGAGCCCAGGCCTGGGGACAGACGGTGGTACCCCCCTTTCCCAGGAAGCACCTCCACCTGCATCTGTGAGGCTGGAGGGCAGGAGGGCTCTTGGGCCCTGGCCCTCACCCTGATCAGAGGCTTCCTCATGGGGGCCGGCTTCCTGCTCACCTATGGCCTCCCCTGGATCTACTACAGTAGGTGAGCAGGCCTGCTCCTCCGCGGGCCCCCTGCCCAGGGGCCCTGTCCCTCCCAGGTCTCCAGATCTGGGGCCCTGGAGCTGACCCACACAGGGGTAGGATGGAGGGGCATTCACCTGCCAGGGGGTGCTGAGCTCTGCTGCCCGCCTGCACTCAGGATTACAGAATCTGACCTGAGACCCACACTCACTGCAGGCGCAGCCCTGAGAGGCCCCGCTGAGCGAATAGTCCTGCACTCCAGAGTGACCGGTCCACATGCAGATCAGACAGGAGAACCCCGGAATGTCTCTGTCACCACTGCTCCTCTGGAGGAGTGGAGCTCTGGACTTGTATCCCTCTGGCTGCCCCCTGAGTCCTGCCTAACCGGCTCCCCACGACTTCCCTGCATCCCTGTGGGTCCTGCCCCTCCCCAGGCTACAAAAGCCTCCCTGCCCCCTCCCTTTGCTCCCCGCCCACCACCATCCCAGCCCTGCTGTAAGAATGCAGTTTGCCACCGACCACCCCTGCCCCGAATTCCCAGGGAGCACTAGAGTTTCGGCCTCCAGCCCTCCCCAGCAGCGTGGGCAGGGGCACACGTGGAGTCGTGAGCACAGCTTCTTTCCCAGGTAAAGGCCCTGCCTCCTATGGTCAGTGTAGGGTATCACAATGTTTAATTATGCGTGGACAGTGGAGTAACCCATGCAGCATTCCATTGATTCCACTATTTAGTGTCTTTGCAGGAGTTTGTAAGTAAAAGCATGATTTGATGTACTTTATTTTATTTTGTTGAAGCAGCTTCGATGAAGGCTTCTTGTGCTTGTTGTTTCTTTTCCTTCTTTTTGGAGGCAGGGTAGGGAACAGTATGCAGGCCTTAGCAGGCCAAGCACGCGCTCCGCCACTGAGCTGCACCACCAAGACTCTATACTCTAAAGGCAACATGAAATTCTGAAGAGTATAGCGAAGAGGAGTCATACACGTGGGTCCGTTGGTGACTCCCCTGCCCAGCTCGGGGGCTCCAGGTGCAGGTTCTTTTCAGGCTTGGCGATCCTTTTGGAGTCTGTTGTCATCCCCCCCGCCCCTGCAGTCCACATGCCCCAGAGCCACCACCAGGTCTCCCCCATCCACATGCAGCAGTACTCCAGCATTGCGCCTCAGGAACCCAGGAGCAAACCTTGCCCACCATTAATTGTTTGGCATTTAGCGCAATATGGTTATCCTGGGCCCAGTGAGATAGCTCAGCGGTCTAAGGCACCCGCTTAGGTAAGCTTAGGCAAGCCCGGGGACCACAGTTCCATCCCTGGCACCACATGCTGTGACCTCCCTGCCCTCATGGCGAGCTGAGTACCCCCCCACCAATTCAGCTATGCTGAATTGTCCCTGGATTTCATCAGTGGAATATTTTTGGCTCTGGTATTGCTTTCGATAGATCATGCAGTATGGGAAGTTATTGCTGGCTTATTTACCCAATCCTAAACACAATGATTACACCATTCAGCTATTACCGAAAGGGAGGCACGGTGGGTGGCACGATGACCTAGGGGGCCTTAGGCTAGGTGTGAAAGCCGGGCACAGAGAGAGCCGGGCACGCTGTGTGTGTCTGTCTTGTTGCTTAGCATGATTGGGTTCAAGGCAGTGTGCAGCTGCCACTTGCCTAGGGTGGGAAAGTGCTCAACTCTCACCCGGGTCATCCCATCTGTACTCGCCCCCTTTAAGGTCTCTTGCACATCAAGGGGGTCCAAAGGTCAGCCAGAAACAAAAGAATTCACCGTATTTCCCTGAAAAGAAGACCCCGTGTCATGTTTTGTTCCAGAGACTCAGTGGGGTGTGCCTCCACGGGGTGTTTTTTAGGTACAGCAATCCGCATTATTCATTCAGTATGTATGAACATCTACATTTGCCCCAGTAGTCATGTCTTCTTCTGGAGCGCTGTCCTAACTCTCCAGCCCCTGAATTCTGGCCCCAAGGTCTTGTGACTCCACGTGCCGCTGGCCCCAGTCCCTCCTGCCTAGCACTAGAGCTCGCCTGCAGCAAGCGCTGCTTGTCCATCAGTCCGCTCACGGTGCGTCATTGCGGCGCACGGCACCTTGAGTGAGGAAGGTTCACTCCAGACGCAGCCGCACCCACTCGCTGCCAAACGTGCGCAGTGCGTAGCTTTGCGTCTGTACTCTGATTGGTCATTCAGCAATGAGTTCATCCGCTTGCTCGGGCTTCTACCTCCCACCCAAAGGCATCAGCTTGGGTATTCACAAATAACCTTAACTACAATTTACATTATCATTTATAGTAAGCCTTAATATCAATGATAGCATTCATGTTTAAGCATGTTTAGCATCATCACTGTATCAGTCAATGCATCCATCTCTTCCTGTGTTGTAAAAGATGTACTAAATGCATCCATCTCGCTGACAACCTTAAAGGGAGGTTATTTTTGTGGTAGGACTTCTCTCTCTCTCTCTCTCTCTCTCTCTCTCTCTCTCTCTCTCTCTCTCTCTCTCTTCATTTATTTATTTATTATTGTATTTTAGGGAAGGGAAGGTTCTGCAGGGTGTTCAGGGTCTCACTACTAGACCAGACTCGTAGTAATCCACCTGTTTATAGCCTCCCCAGAGCTGGGATTACAGGAGCGCGCCACCACACCCTATCTCAGTGCACCCCAGGGGCAGGGCCGGCATAGCAGCCCCAGGGATTAAACCCCCGGCCCCTGTGCCTGCTTGCAAGTGTTTTAATCGGTTGAGTTCTCTGGCCGGCGCTGCTAGGGCTTACATCTCAAGCATCCTCAAAAACCATGTTAAGGATTCTTTTCTGGCTGGGTCTTATTTTAGCAAAAGTAAGTTAGGAGGGGACTGTTGGGTGATAGGTTAAGTGGCTGTCAGCACAGATATTGCCAAACAGATATTCCAGAGTAGTGGAGCCCGCTGACATCCTCTGTAGCAGTTAAGAGAGTTCCGGTTCCTCCACATCCTTGGCCAACACCCGAAGTATCAGGCTTTTCCACTGTAGACATGTTTTTGACTGGCCTCATTCATGATGTATTTAGCAAGATTTTGGTTTTACTCTTTTCTGTAAAGGATCCACTACTTTGTGCTTTCAGCTCATTTTCATATATTATTTTATTTTTATATTTGAAAGAATGCAAAATAATAATAAAATAACAGCATTACAAATGATACAAAGGGCCGACCACATAGCTCAGCAGATTAAAGTGCTTGCAAGCAGGCGCAGGGGCTGGGGGTTCAATACTCAGGCCTGCCATGCCAACCTCGCCCGCAGGGCACGCTGACATGGCAATTGAGACTGGGTGCGGTCACGCCTCTATAATCCCAGCTCTTGGGAGGCTGTAAACAGGTGGATCACTACCAGTCCAATCTAGTAGTGAGACCCTGAACATCCTGTAGACCTTTCCCTAAAACACACACACACGCACACACACACACACACACACACACACACCAGAAAAAAAAAGGATACAAAATTTCACTGTATGAGTACTAGGAATTGAACAATGGTTGCTGTATTGCTGGATGTCACGTTCAAATTAATTGTTGAGGTTACTGGATAGAAATGTGAAAAAATGGTTTAAAAATAAAACAAAACAACAGCAAAAAATTATAAGAAATTAAAAATAATTAAAATAATTTAAGCATTAACTGCTGCTTTCAAAAGGCCAACAGAAATCTGCAGCATAACAATCCAAATTACCCGACGTATATACACATATGCAGCTTCTTCCCTTCTTTTGTCCTTTTCTTGTCCCAGGTGTTCCTTCCCACGGAACAGATTCATTCCCTCTCACAGCATCTATCGGACCTTTCAGATTTTATTTATTCTTTCAGGTTCTCGCACTAGCGAGACAACATGATGTTCACACACAGGGGTCTGACTTCTCCCACTTACCAATACAGTCTCTAGTTGCATCCATTGATCTACAAAAAACAAAGCAAAGCAAACAAAAATCATCCACTGGTTAGATGCCTGGAAATAGGCGGCAACGCCTTAACACTGTGCGTGTTGTCAGGCCTGAGGGCCTCTCCCATCCTTGTGGGGGAGCGCTAAGCTTCTCTCCTTTCACACAACGCCCATCTATGCTTTATATATTTTGTAGCTGATGCCTATGTCTGCGGGGTAAGTCAATCATGTCTACTCCATTTGTTCAGAAACATTTTTTCCCGAAGACTTCAATTTGTGCTTCTAACATAGACAAACTTTCATGAAGCTGGTGATGAAATAGAAATGGATTCATCACTGTGGTTAGCAAAAATATACATTTTTGATATACTACCAAGTCTTTTCATTCTGCATTCCAGGTTGTTTTCACCCAGAGTGTAGACTTTAAGCCAGTGGTAATTGCCTCTGTCCTCTCCTAGTGATCTTCCCAGGTTCACTTGATCCTAGTCGTGTCTCCAGTTGCCCATAAATACTGAAACCTCCTTTCTCTCTCTCTCTCTCTCTCTCTCTCTCTCTCTCTCTCTCTCTCACACACACACACACACACACTTTTTGTATCACTTCTCCTATCTGATATGCCGTTTCCTGTGGCTAAGGTCTATTTCTGGCTTCTCCGTTGTGCTTCTCTTGTGCGCCGGCTTACGCCTCTGTCAGTGCAACACCATCTTATTCCTGGACTCTTGAAGACGACTTCACATCTTGCAGAGCCGTTTACCGCTCTTCATAACTGCTCTGGCTCGAGGTGGAAGTTTCTGCTTCAGTATGAATTTTGCAGTAGCGTGATAAGTTCCAGAAGAGCTCCCTGAGGGACAATATGAAAGCTGCCATGATTCCGTGCACCATCTCGGTGGCAGCTAGCATTGCTTTGTAGCCACCATAGGCACTGTTGTGTCAAGCCCGCTGACCCTGCAGATTCCCACATCTTTGCATCTGAATGCCCTTCGCTCTCGGCGCAGGCTTTCCTCCACGCACCTACAGCGCACGGTGCAGATTTGTCAGATGTCTCTCTCAGTCCAAGTGTACGGAGTACATCACACATTTCGGCGGGCTGGAAAGTACATGGGGGCACCCGGCCATCTCAAAGGCTTTAATTGAACTGACTGATTTATGAGCCTAAGGCTCCAATCCGAGGTCCCCCACTGAAAGGACCAAGCGGTTGGCGGTTATGGGACAGACACAGGCATAGAGCCAAGAAAACAGCTGACTCGTTGCCCTTACACCACTGTCCTACCTGATCCACTCCAGGGAAAAGTCGCTAGCTTTTGGCTTCCTCTCACGGGTTCAACCGCATCCTCTTTTTCCTTAGAAACTGTAGCTCAAGGTTTTATCAAGTCTGTAAGCCCGGTGTGCCACAGGTCACTGGTGAGGGCTTGCCACCAAGGGCCTTCAGGCATGGCCTCATTTCAACTTACTTTCACAGATGTTGTCAATGACGTATTTCATAATATTCCATTTCATTTGCCATTGCAATAGAAAAGTAAAATTAATTTTTGTAATTTGATCAATGCTTATCTGTATTTCTAACTTGCTTTTTAAGCTACGAAAGGTACCTATTAGTCTCTTGGGTGTTTTTACATATGCAGTCATATCTTCTAAGAGAAGTGGTTTTTTCTCTCAATTTTTTAAAATGTATTTGGCACAGGGTCTCACTACGCAGCTCAGACTCCTAGTGATCCTCCTGTTTTCAGCCTCCCCACTGCTGGAATTATAGGAGTGCACCATGAAGCCCAGTGTCAGTGGCCAGCTCAGGGTGTGGCATGGGGTACCCGGGATTGAACCGCAGTCCTGCGCTTGCCTGAGCAGGCGCTTAGTCCACTGAGCTCTCTCTCTGGCCCTCTCAATTCTTACAGTGTTACGTATTTTTCATGTCTTCTTGTGGTTGGCCCTGACTAATGTGTTTGCTGAGTCATACCTTGTGACTCTTAGGGGGATCATTTTAATTTTTAGTTGCTCCGCGTTTTACCATGAAGGCCTCTGAAATCGCCACTGCTCACTTCGTTCGTCTCTATATATTTAATGTGTAAAGGATCAAACTGACAAAAAATAAATAAAAAGCCATACTGTGTATTTCATCAGAAAGAATGTAACACAAGGATCCTGTCACTCAGTGTCAGCGGTTGACAAAATGCAAAGTTAGGGGCTGGGGAGAGAGCTCAGTGGTCTACGTGTCTGCCTGGAAAGACAAGGACGCGAATTTGATCCTCAGTGCCGCATGCCACTCCAGCCACTGAAACTAGGCGTGGTGGCACACTCCTGTAATCCCAGAGCCGGGGAGGCTGAAACAGGAGAATCTCTAGGAGTCCAAGCTGTGTTGGGAGACCCTGTACCAAATAAATTAATAACACATTTTAAAAGATAAAATGAAAGCTACAAATTTAACACAGGGCTGAAGTCTTGGATGACTCTCAGCCCACAACTGAGAACTGCTAGATACCCCAGCGGTGTGAATTTGTGCTGCATTCCCACGTAAAGCCTATTTATGCACAACTACATTCCCTTTTTTAGCCCTTACTTCACCTAAGACAATCCTACCTGTAAAATGCAAGTCATTACTTCCTTGTTACCTGCACATCCAGTTGGGGCCAAGCCAGGCTTTGGAGAGGCCAGCGTTGACGCCTTTATTAGAGCAAAGTCTCTCAGCATGAGCTACTGTGGGAAGGAAGACCACGCACGAGGCCTGGGGGAGTCTCAAGACCGTCACAGGTACATGCCAGTTAGAAAAGTGCACGGAGTGACTGCCTGAAATTTGGTCAAGGCCAGCGGTTTTCAGTCTCTAGAGAGAATCAGAAATACAGAGAGACAGAGAAAAGGCAGAGACAGAGACCGAAAGGAGACAGGCAGAAGCAAAGATAGAAACTTAGTAAAGGTTTCTTCAAATTTAACTCTGCTAATGAATTGTGGGAGTGAAGAAAGCTACTTTTTTTTTTTCCCCCGCCAGTACCAGGGATCAAACTCAGGACCTTGTGCTTGCCAGGCAAGCACTTACTCCACTGAGTTATCTCCCTGGCCCTGAAGAAACTTTCTTGACTTACGAGTGATCAAAAGAAATTCCAGTCAACCATGCATGATGAAATGTTGACTTATACATATATTCTAGGTATAAAAAATCCACCTCCAGGTCCGGTGAGATGGCTCAGTGGTCTAAAGCACCTACTTAGAGCAAGCTAAGCAAAGCACAGGGACCGTGGTTCAATCCCCCAGCACCACATGCCAGCCAGCCCCGCCCCCTGGTGGGCTGAGCTGGCCACACACACACACGCACACATACACACATAAATAAATAAAAATTTTTTTAAAATCCACTTCCAAAGTGTCACCCATAGAAAGGTGACCAAAGGATATCAGTGAAAGTTGTTAGTGGAAAGTACACAGGTGCATTAGGCATACTACAAAAATTTGTCACTCGGTTTTTATTACAATACATATCACATCAAAATCATAAGCCCCAGGGCTGGAGAGATAACTCAGCAGCGTGTGCACCTGCCTGGCAAGCAAAAGTTCCTGAGTGTGATCCCCAGTACTACTCCTCCTAATAATAATAATAATAGTCATCATCATTGTCATCATCATCATCAGACCCAAAATGCTGAAAAATTTTGAAATAGTATAACATTTTCTATGTCTATAACTTTTATATGTCTAGCGTACCTGCGTCCATTCCACTCTTAACTTTCACTGGTATCCTTTGGTCACCTTTCTATAGGGGACACTTTGGAAGTGGAATTTTTATACATAGAACATATGCATAAGACAACATTTCAGCATGCATGGTGGATTGGAATTACTGTCGATCATTCATAAGTCAAGAACTTTTCTTCACCCCCACAATTCATTATCAGGGTTAAATTTGAAGAAACCTTTATTAAGTTTCTGTGTGTGTGTGTGTGTGTGTGTGTGTGTGACTCTCTCACGCACACACACACACACACACACACACATGCACACACGCACACCACTAAGACGGCAGGTTATTTCCAGGCACTGCTCAGGGATCGAGGGGACTGCACAAGGCAGAGCCCTAAGATGAACTTCGTGATCTTTCTGGAGACAAATGGGTCCTGTTCGCCTCTGTCACCCTGCACAGCGGGACGAAGCCCTCTGTGGCCTGTGCCTCGCCGTCATCTGTCCAAGCATGATGCTGAGTGCGCCCTGTTCTGAAAATTCCCTCAGGCCACAGGGGTTTATTCTCTCCCCGAGGTCTCGGCCTCCATAATTTGAGTTTAAAAAGTCCTTCCTCTCCCCGTAATTTGAGTTTAAAAAGTCCTTCCTCTCCGGCCAACAGTTAAATAATTTTAGGGAAATTTAAACGATGTTTTCCCAGAATATTTGGTGGTTAGTCCACCAGAGGGAGGAGCTGACACACCCCTCACCAAACCGCAGGCCGGGCCCTCCCGGTGCTCCCTCTGCGTGCGCTCCCGAGCTGTGTCCCTGGCTGTCTTCGACATCATTTGGAGGCAGCCACTGTCACGGACATGGTTGGCCCTTGGTGGCCTCAGGCTTGTCACCTGCAGTGCCTCGTAGGGCTGGGGACAGCTGACCCTCCCCCTCCCCCATAAGGTTCCTGAACACCAGTTCCCCTTTGGAGGGGGCCGCTGCGCTCCCTCACCAGCCACTTCCGCTTCAGCTTCCTGGCCTCAGCCTACGATCAGGCTTGGCTTCCCTCCCAGGAGCCTCACTGGCTCTACCCCTGCCCCATGCGAGATGCCAGCCCCGCGGCCACTGCTGCTGCTGCTGCTGCCCCTGCTGTGGGCAGGTGAGTGAGTGCGGAGGGGAGGGCAGCGGGGCTGGGGCCTGGGCTGCAGCTCAGCCTCTGTGTCCCCGCAGGGTCCCTGCAGCAGAGTCAAGGCCCAAAGATCCAAGTCCAGAAGTCAGTGACCGTACAGAGGGGCCTGTGTGTCCTGGTGCCCTGCTCCTTCTCCTTCCCCTCACGTTGGTCGCTTTCCCAGCGAGAGATCTACATGTCTTGGTTCCGGCTCTGGACAACATACCCATATGATGATGAGGCTGTGGCCACAAACAACCCAAAACATGCAGTGAGGCCAGAGATCAAAGGTCGATTCCGCCTCCTTGGAGACATCAGGACCAAAAACTGCTCCCTAAGCATCAGGGGCGCCACAATGGAGGACACAGGATCCTATGTCTTCAGAATAGAGACATATGATTACAAATATGGTTATACAGACAACCCAGTGAATTTGAAGGTAACAGGTAGGCAGAGTCCCCAGGAGGGGACCTCGGGTCCTGAACACCCCACAGGAGAACTAGAACAAGACGTCTGGCCTTTCTCTGCTCTGCTCATGGGCTGCGAGGTGGGGGGTCAGAGGAACGTGAGCTATGCACCCGCTTGGGCCCTGGGGCTCCAGTCACCTTCGGGCTCACACTGGGTCCCCACTCTGGGCCCAAGCAGCTCCCTGTCTCCTACTCAGACCTGACAGAGAAACCGGTCCTCCTGGTTCCTGAGCCCCTGCAGTCTGGCCGCCCCACACGCCTCAGCTGCTTCCTGCCCGGATCCTGCCCAGGGAGCCCACCCCTCACCTTCTCCTGGTTGGGGGACGCCCTGAACTCCATGGACCCTGGGAGCCTGCATCCCTCAGAGCTCACTCTTACCCCACGGCCCCAGGACCACAGCAGCAGCCTCACCTGCCAGGTGAAACTCGGAGGATCGCAGGTGACCACGGAGAAGACCGTCAGGCTCAACGTCTCCTGTGAGGGCTGTGGGTTAGTGGGGGGCTGTGTGTGTGTGTGTGTGTGTGTGTGTCTGTGTGTCTGTGTGTGTCTGTGTAAGAGCATGTAGAAGAGGGAAAAAAATGACCTGAGAGAACTGTATGGACTTGCACTTTGCAAAAGGGTCAAAAGGACAGTGTCCCCACCTTCCACTTCTGTGACCCCGGGTACCTCCTGGGCCTGTCCCTGCCCCTGATGCCCTGCAGCGAAGCCGTGTCTCTCCCCAGATGCTCCACAGAACTTCAGCATCAGTGTCTTCTTCAGAAATGGCACAGGTAGGAAAGAGCCTGTCCTCTCTGGGCGGGGGACCCCTTGATAGGTAGCGAGGCATAAGGGCTTGAGCGAGGCAGAGATTGAATGAGGAAGAACAAGAGCCACCACCTCTGCCCCCTGCATGCCCCAAGGACACACACGTGTGCACACCCAGACACACAGGCACATGCTCGACCTTAATCTGCCCATCCCACCCCTTCCACGATCCCTTTTCTTACCAGGGTCGCCGAGCCCAAATGCATGCCCATGTCACCTTTGTATGGCTTGGCTGTGTGGGCCTCCTGCCCCTCTCTTCTGCCCCTCTGTTTATTTCTTGCTGTGTCTTTTGCAAAGCTGTTGTGCTACTCTGTTTTCTGTCTGCCATATATTCCTAGCAAGTCCCAGTGAGACTTTGAGCCTCTTTGAAAATGCAAAGCCGAGTCTTGATCAATATCCTGAGGATGTAAAGGCTCAGTCTTGGAGGATCAGGAGGGAGCTAATCCGGGGTGGGCCAAGGAAGGGGAAGAGGGAAGGGCATCGGACCCCTGGAGGAGGAACACTGGGGACGACAGCCGCCCTGAGCATTCTCTCTCTCCCTCCCCCTCCCTATCTCCCTCCCTCTTTCCCTAAAGTCCTCCAGATTCTAAACAGCTCCTCATCCCTGTCCACCCTGGAGAGCCAGGTTCTGCAGCTGACCTGTGCTGTGGACAGCAACCCCCCTGCACAGCTGAGCTGGCTTTGGGACTCTCCTGCCCTGAATGCCCCCTGCATCTCTGCTGGTGCCACCCTGCAGCTGCCTTGTGTAGGGACTGCAGAAACAGAAATTTTCACCTGTCAAGCTCAGAATGTAGTGGGCACCCGGAATGCCTCTGTGAGCCTCTCCATGTTTTGTGAGTGTGGGGCCTTCATGGGCAGGACAGCTGGGTCCTGGCAGCGATAACATCCCTAACCCTCCTCCTGCCTCCCTCTTAGATGGCCCCCAGCTGCTGGGCCCCACGTGCTCCTGGGAGGCTGCGGGTCTGCACTGCAGCTGCTCCTCCCAAGGCAGGCCAGTCCCGTCCCTGCGCTGGCGACTCGGGCAGGGGCTCCTGGAGGGGAACAGCAGCAACGCCTCCCTCACGGTCACCTCCAGCTCGGCGGGGCCCTGGGCCAACAGCTCCCTGAGCCTCCATGGGAGACTCAACTCTAGCCTGAGGCTCAGCTGTGAATCCTGGAATGTGCGTGGGGACCACAGCGCCACTATCCTGCTGCTGCCAGGTCAGGGGCCCAGTTTTGGAGGGAGAAAGTGTGGTGGAGGAAGAGAGGGGCCAGTGGAGGGGAAGTGCAGAGATGTCGGGGCTGGATGGGGTGAGAGTGGGGCTGGAGTACAGACCAAGCTGCCCGGGAGGACAGGCTGCTCCACCTCCTAGCTGAGTGGGGGCTTGGAGCACAGCCCACAAAGAGGCAAGATGACGAGAGACTGGGCCCTGGGAGCAAGTGGTCCCACCATCCTGTCTTCCACAGGGAAATCAGAACCTAGGGGAGGAGCTGTAGTTGGAGCCCTCGGAGGCGCTGGTGCCATGGCCCTGCTCTGTCTCTGTGTGTGCCTCATCTTCTTCTGCATGTGAGTCCCGCCCCGCCGTGGAAGTGTTGCAATGCAGGGTCTTACATGGGATGGCGAGCATCCCTCTGAGGATTAAAGGAAATAGTTTTGCACATGGGTCTTGGGAGGCCGCACATGAGGGGTTAGTGAGCACACAGAGAGCAAGTGAAAGGGCACCCTGGGCTCAAAGCCTTCATTGGGATCCAGGGCACTCGCCGAACAGGTTTGCAGTGGTGGTGGTGGGGGCGGGGGGTGATGGGTGTTTTAAAGTAGGTGGGCATGAGTTGCAGAAAGTCACGCTCAACTGAGAGGTGGTCACCAAAGTACGCTGACACAGTCCACTGTGGCCATTCAGCCTAAGTGGCAGGCTTAACAAGGCTGCCCCACAACGATGGGGTCACCACAAGGGAAGTGTATGGGGCAGGCATCCAGGTCGACCACACTGGGGAACTTGTGGTGATGGAGAATAGAAACTGCGTCGGCAGTGGCCAAGGCTGCTTCCAACACACTCAAATTGGGTGCCCAGGACTCAGGGATGGATAAGAATTCATTCACTAGAGGGATGTAGAGGTGTGTGGCAGGGCAGAGGATAAAGCTTGCTGCATCCCAGAGATGCACAGCTGAATAGATCCGGTGGGATTGTTTGTCTTTTTCCTGACAAGGAAAGAAATGCTGCACATACTGTGCAATTTCTCCACTGCACGTGCATAACTCAGTGACTTTGGGACTATCCAGAGTCATGTTCCATTACCTCGATGGTTTGAGAACACTTTCAGTGGTCCCAAATGCAAAAGAAGCCCTCCACCCCTCAGTGTCACGTGCCCTGCTTCTCCTAGCCCTAGCCTAGACTATTCTCTCAGGTTGGCTTCTTCTAGAAGTTTCTGGCCAAGGAAATCATGCAGCATGTGTCCTTTGGTTGGCTACTTTCGCTCAGCATTGCGCTTCCCAGGCCCCTCCATGTGAGGCACGTGTTGGTATCTCATTCTGTTTTGTTCCCGTTGTGTAGATGAAGCATATTTTACTTATCTGTTCTCATCTACAAATGGACACTTGCGCTGTGTTCACCTCTTGGCTGCTGTAAATAACATGGCTATGGTCACATGCATGCAAGTTTTGTATGTAAGAGAAAGCTTTAATGGTGGAAAGTCGGGTTACCCAGGAAGGTGGAGTCCTCTCTCACACGTCAAGAAAGTCTCCAAGTTGGGGTCCAAGGCCTGGCTCCCTGTCCTCATGTTCACCATCTTATCAGGGGCCAGGGCAGCCGACTCACAGGGCCTGAGCCCTGCTAGCTGAAGTGCGCTGGTTTCTTCCCTTAGCACGAAGGCCCGGAGGACTCAAGCAGCTGGAAGATCAAAGAAAATGGATGATGAGGACCCTGTCATGGGCACAGTCACCTGGGTGAGTGTCACGGCACCCTTGCTATGCATGGGAGGCCCTTTCACATGTCCACTTGTGAAGTTTAGGCTGAGCTCCTCGGCATTTTCCCAAATCCGTTGCCCCCTACTCATAAGGGAGTACGTCCCTCCCATGGTCCCCTGTCACCTCCAAGAGGTGATCAATCACTACCTGTGCTGCATTCTTCCTTGTAAATGAACCTACCTGGCCCTCTGTTCACCCTTCTGTCCTTCCCTCACCAATCTTAGAGTCTGCCTCACATCCTTGCTTCCTCTGCCCACCCTGGACCACGCCTGCCAGGACACCTTCCCCCGAGGACTATCTTCTAGCCAGCCTGGAGTCTCCGAGTTGTAGTTTGATCCCACTCCATAGAGAATCAAGTCCACATTCCGTGGCCCATCAGTCTGTTTCCTGCCCCATGGACCAGCCACGCTGGCCATCTCACCACCTCCACGTGGAGCCCTCTTCTCACAGCTTAGAGTCTGCATGTACGGCTCCTTCCCCCTCTCCACCACACCGCCCTGTCTACTCCTCCTAGCTCTAATCTCATAGCTCCCACTCTGGTAAAACTTCTCCGGGTCCCTGCCACTGTCACCTATCCCTGCCTCGTCCACGTATTCACAGCCTCGCTCGTACCCCTGTGCAGATGGGCTCCTTACGTACTTTTACCTGCCTCCCCGTCTCATCATATTTGCAAAGTTCTTAAGGACAGGGTCTGGTTTTCTTCAGTCTCTCTCTCTGCTCCTGTTGGGCAAGTCTTCTCTCACAAAATTTGCCCTGTGTTACCTTGAGTGGAACCCAAAGTGCTTCTTTCCTCCTCATCAACTTTCTATTCCTATGACAAGTGTTGTTTGTCATTACTTACTCATTTTTACTCATAGCATGATAAATAAGTGCTTCCAATCCAACGTCAAACCTAAGACCAGAAATGTTGATAATTACCTACATGTTAAATCCATCTGTGTAGCTCCTTGGTTCATCTCCAGCACCAGCATTGCGAATCTCGTCTTCCTCCTCTTAAGGCAGTTTTAACTGTTCCTGAGGCATCTTGGGTACCATGAGCTGTGCAGTCTTCCTGGACTTGCTTAGTTGGCTAAGCATCATAGTGTGAAGATTCAGAAATAGGATTTCACAAAAATCCATTCTATTCATTTACCCCTTGAGTATTTTATGATCATGTTTGTTTTCTAAGCTCTCACATCGATTTTTGTTTGTTTGTTCGTTTGTTCATGTGTTTAGTACAGGGTCTCAGTATGCAGCTTGTACTCCTAGTGTTCCTCCTGTTTTCAGCCTCCCCAGCACTGGTATTACAGGCATGCACCACCATTCCCTGCCTTGGTGGCTCAGCGTGCCCAGGGGCAGAGCCAGTGTGGCATGTGGTGCTGGGGATCAAACCCCAGTCCCTGTGCTTGCCTAAGCAGGTGCTTAGTCCACTGCGCTATCTCACCAGCCCACACTGATGGGTTTTTACGTTACTTCCAGATTGCAACAATTTTTCATTAACATCATCCTAGAATTTGATTGGTGGATCACAGTTACGTCACTGTCCATCTTTAGAAGATCGCTTGCATGCACTGAAGCACCTGTGTATGCTGGCGATTTCCTGGTGATTTACAATTTTTCCAACACCTGGTTCTACCAGTCAGCTCAATTCCTTCTATCATCTCAAGTTCTCATTCTGGCGTCTGTTTGCATATCCTTGGTTACCACCAGCATGAAAAATCTCTCTACATTTCCCAGGCATTTTCACACTTCTCCCATGAAGTCCCTGGTCACTGCTGGAGTCCATTTTCCTATTAGGTGCTTGATCTTTTGGACACTAAATGTTATGCCAATATTTCACACTAACATAATATATATATTTTATATCATATATCTCTCATGTATGATGTAAATTTTTTTTCACAGTGAATAGTTCATTTTCACTTTCCCCTCAGGTGACCGTGCTTAGACAAAAGTTCTTAACTCTTGTACATGTCTGTCAATCTTCATTTTTATTCTTTCCCTTTTTTATTTTCCATTGTATTTTTTCATCTTTTCATTAGCACATGCTTGCAGGACATAGTGTTTACACACCTTGAGGGGAGCTGCCGCATGCCGTCACGCACCTCCACTCGCTTTTCATCCTTTCCCTTCCCTTCCCCTTCCCGTTCCTCTCTTGACCTCTTCCAGTTAGAGAAAGATCCACCTCCTGGCTTCCTGTGCCCTACCTTTTCAATCCTCTTTTTCTATCAAGCACCTCTGGGGACTCATTTAAGAATATTTTTCCCATCCTAAAATTAGAAGTCTATTCCAGTGTAGTTTCTACTAAAATTTTTAAATTTTCATTTTTATGTTTGAGTACTTCATCAACCTGGAGTTGGCTACTGTCTCTGTTGCTCTTTTCTCGTTACTGGGACAAATAACGGACACTCAAAATGAAGGAAGGAAAGGTTCATTTAGCTCACAGTTATGGGAAGTTTCAGTCCATACTTGGCTGGCTCCAAGGCAGAGCGGCACATGGCAAAGTGCAGAGAGCAAATGAGAGAAGCAGCAGCAAGAATGGCCACAGGGAGCAGGTCTGTCTCCCTTAAGCTGCATTCAGGCTGTCTGCCCCGGGCTGGGTGTAGCCCTCACACCCATACTCCCAGTGGATCATGAGTTAATCAGGAACTCTAGAAGTCCGCCCCATGACTGCATGAGACTTAGGGGGGACAATGACACAGAAACCACGACAGCTACTGTGTGTAGAACACAGCTCTGATTCCTACATTCTTCCTTTAATTTTTGATGAGCCCTTCCCAACTGCCTCCAGTGAACGGCGATGAAGACACTTCCCTCGTCTGCTGACCTCCTCTATATGTGAGAGTGTCTTCCTGGGGCTTCTCTTCTACTCCAGCAGACAATTTTACTTCCTTTGGCTCAGAGCTATGCATAGATTTGATAGTCTACAAACTCTTATAGAAGTTCTGATACCTAATGGGACAAGACTCACCACTCGAGCTCCTTCAACAAAGCCGTGGCTATTCTTGGCCTCTTGTCCTTCCGTGGAACTATTCGTAGCATTTTGTCAAATTCCAAGAAATATCCCTGTGAGTGCGTTCATTGGCATCCACTGAGTCAGTGCCTCACTTGGGAAGAATCGGCTCATTTGAAATTCAAGTCTCCACATCCGTGCAAACAGATTTCTGTTTGTCTTCATCTGTGTTTGTGTTTTCAAAAAGTTGTAGCTTTTCTTTACCTTGGTTTTGCAAATTTTCAATTTTCTTCCCAAGTGCTGCGGTTGGGCGCTGTTGTAAATGCGCTCTTTTCAAAGGTGCACTTTCTGATTGTTTGTTACTAGGCTGCGAAATGACAGTTTTTTGTTTGTTTTTTAAGTACGGCTTTTTTTTAACAATTGACAAATATCACAAGTGGATTAGACTCTTTGCTGCTTTGGTAGTTGAAGAATTCTTAGGGAATACAAAGCCTACTGACTTGTGCTTTAAAAAAAAAAAGAGAGAGAGAGAGATAGATAACAGCCCCCAAACTGAGCAGTTTCGAAATCTTAACTGTAATTATTTGCTGAATGAAAGCAGTTGAAGTATAATGTTATTTCAATCAAGAACCAGGACATCCTTTTTGGCTTCACTTACTGAGAAAAAAAAAAAAAAAAAAAAAAAAAAAAAACACCGGGCCTCGTACACATCTTGGACATGGCTCTTTCTTCTAAGAGGTGTCGGGTTTCTGTAAATGGCCCACCCTTCTTCCCTTTGGTGGAGAAGAGAGCGCATGCACAGAGCCGGCCTCCTGCGGCAACGGAAGTCCCTGCAACACCTCAGGCTGCGGGTGGCACAAGGCGCCGGGTCCTTTCAACAGCAGGCAGTTGTGTCCCTTTCAACACTGCGCCTCACCTCTGCTCGCAGACCCTGGGGTCAGCTGCGCGCTCCGGGCCCGTGCAGTAAGCGCGCGCCTCTGCGCAGTGACGTCCCCGCGGCTGGGGTGGGCGCTGGGCAGCGCGGAGAACCGCCTCTGTTCTCTCCAATACACCAAACTCAAAATTATATTTTAAATTGATCTTATATCCATCCCTACTACGTGCTGTGCTCTCTTTCTGGGAATACTGTGTATGCAGAAATTGAAACATTTTTAACAATTTTGCTTTTGAAAATATCAGATATTGGGCTTGGGGATTATTTAGACTCTTGAAATTTCAAAATAGATGATTATATCTCTGAAAAAAATAAAAACGTCTTTCCCTTGTATAATTCAAGCACATCATTCCCTTTTCTTGCTTTAATATTTAGGCCAAGATTCTAGTCTAGAGTCTAGATGGGCAAAAGGCTGGGGAGGAAGCTCGGTGGCCTGAGCCCCTGTCTGCAAGCTCAGGGAACCCGGTAGCACATGCCTTAGCAGCCAGCCCCATAACCAGGCGCACCGTGCAGGCCCCCGAGACCCGCGTGGTGGCGCACGCCTGTCATCCCAGCGCTGGGGAGGCTGAGACAGGATCGCTACGAGTCTGGACTGTGTAGCAAGACCCGGTACCAAATAAATAAATAGTAAAAACAAGTTGTTTAAAGATGGGTTAAAATATGACCATGCGCATCTTATATTATTCCAGTTTTAAAGACAACGTGCTCATCCTGCCAGTTAAATTTTTGTGGTTTTGTTTTGTTTTTACTCACCTTTTACCTTAAAGTAGTTCTTTCCGATCATTAAATCACTTCAAGTTTTCATCATAAGTTTATATTGAACTTTTAAAATGAACCTTCTGACAGGATTTTTTAAAATAATCTTTTAAAAATTATTTTATGAAAAAACAAATTTTCAAAATAAAATAAGAGAATATTAATAATAGTGAATGCATTGCATATTGTTATCTTCGAAGTAGTTACTCAGAGTACAATATGGTCATAAAAAGAGTTCTCCAAACAATATTAGCACAAGCGTTCGTTTCGGGTGAGCCAAGAGACACTGTCTTGGGGTTTTTCCCTCTTCCCTTCCTTCCTCTCCCCCTCCCCCAGTTCCTCTTTCCTTTTGAACAA